GCACAGACCACGGTCTGCCCTGCAGCTTCAGCCACAACATGGCCAGGTCTTGCAGTGCCAGTGGCTGGGTGAGGCGCCGCACGAGCGCCTGGGCTTCTGTGGGCACACGCTCGCTCTGACAGCTGCAAACTGCTGAAATGCACTGCTTTTTGCAGAGGCAGCCCATGATGTCCCTCCAAGGGCCTCTGCAGGGGAGAGGGAGGGCCATGGAGCAGAGGGGACAGGGATTTTGCATGTCATCGCTTTCCAGTTGTGGCATGGTGTGGGGGACGTGGCAGTGAGGCATTGCAAACCCCTGGTCGGATTCACGCCTGTGCGTGGCTGGTGAAGCCGGAGGGATGAATTGAGTCCCTGTGTATTTCTGTACTAAGTCAGCTTTGGGAAATGTCATTGCTCATCCGCCTGCCTGACCAGCGAGGGGGTGGAGGGCGGCACTTCAGACCCTTGTCCTCATCCAAAAGGGCAGCTGAGTGGATTTTTGTGCTGGGATGCTGCGTCCTGTGATGGCTCAGCGAGCTGGTTGAGCCACAGGCAGGACGTGGCCGGGCTGCCAGCCTGCCGTGTCTCTGCTCTGCCTGCGTTCCCACTGCCTCAGCGAGCCGGGGGGCTTTGGCAGTCACCCATGCTGGGGGTCAGACCCCCAGAAAACGTGCCTGGTGAAGGGATGGGCATCAGGCTAGTGTCACACAGCACTTTCGGGCAGCGCAGCTGGCGTGGGAGCTGTGCCCTGCACTGAGCCAGAGTCTTCCCCCTTGGCTGGGCTGAGCTGTGCTGGCAGCGAGGGTCCGAGTGCTGCTCTGGGCACCCTCTGCTCCTCCTGGTTGAACACCCTGGGGGTCCATCAGCACACACCAGGCTGGGGACAGCACCGTCCCCATCTTCCTTCAGCAGCAGCGTCTGCCTCTGGCTGCCCCTTCCTGCTCCACGCCTGCGGTGAGGGCTGGGTGCTGTGGCTGATGCCAGGGGGTTGTTTGCCACGCCAGGTCCTGCTGCCCCCACGTGCGCACAAAGTGGTGGGTTTATGGGGGAAGATGTCGCGTGTGGACTTTGCATCCGCACGCACCGCCGGCAGCCTGCCTTCCCAGCGCTGCCAGCTCTGCTCTGCCGGGAGGTTTGGAGGGAAGGGCTGAGGATGGGTATTGCTGCAAGAGTCTCCAGGGCTGATAATTATTTCTGGGGAAAAGATGCTGTGTTCTGACTTAAACACTGACATGGGACTCTGAACATGTGTAATCTGGCTGACAGATGGCAAGTCATAGAGGTGTGATTTATGATACAGCACAGTAGCTGAACAACCTCCTCTGGTTGTTAGGAGACAATTCTTCCCAGCTCTGCGGTTGATGTTTCAATTGATGGTTTTCCCCTCGTGTCCCCTCGGTTCCTCGGTGACATGCTGGGGAGCCTTGGCAGGTGCCGGTGCAGCAGGCTGGGTCCACCAAGCCCCGGCAGCGCCAATGCTGAGCTGCTGCAGAGATGCTGCTTCTTATGGTGGGCTGGGCAGGTCACCCCAAATCCTGCCCGGGCTGGACCATGAGCACTCCGTGCAGCGGGCAGGGCTGGGGGAGCGGTGCTCGCCTTGTCCCCATCCCATGGCTGGGAAGAAGCTGGCTCAAGGCGGCAGTGGCTCCCTAGACCCGCACTTGTGGTGCCAAGCATGCTGATACTGACGGGAGAAGGCATGAAAATCTTGCCCATCAGTGAGGTGCACAAGAGGATGGATGCCAACAGCCATAGGGAACCTGCCTGACTCGCATAGCCTCTCCGTGCCTCAGTTTCCCTGCCTCTACCTTAAGATCCCTAACATTGATCTTTCTCAAGGGACAGGGACATCTATTAGTGTTTGGAAGGCACTTGGGAAATAAAAGTGTGGTCCCTGCAGCATCCCCCTCCCGTGTTAGAGGCTCACTGCCGCTGCCACCCGCAGAGCACGGACCTGGGGCACAATGCCCAGCGCGGCTGCAGGAATATCCTGACCCTGGGAGCATCCCGACCCTGGGGGACCGGAGCAGCTCCAGCACGAGGAGCTCAGGAAAGCTGACCCACAAGCAGGGCCTTGGAGGGGCGAGGGGAGTAGGGCAGAGCAGGCTGCCAGCATTGGACTGCGTTTGCCTGCGTGCAGCCACGGCAGAGCAGGTATGATTCATTCCCTCTTCTGCAGTACAGTTTATGTAAAGCAGCACTGTATAAATAGCCAGATGATATACTGTAATGTGCTCCTGGCTTTCTAATTGGTGATGCTTCTGCTGGAGCTTTTGGGTCCGGCGGAGGTGAGAGGAGGCTGTTTCGTACCAGGTTGAGAGAAGCTGGATGAGTTGCTGACGGCTCTCAAGGAGGAGGTGCTGGCCCATCAGAACGGTCGCAGCCGTCTCCCTTAACATGGCTGTGAGCAGTTGGAGGTGGCGGGTGAAATCCTCTGTGGCTGGGCAACTGCTAGGCTGGAAGGTGAGTCTAGAGGGTGAAAGCAGCACCCAGCATCTGAAGCGGGGGGAGTGACGGCGAGGCCACGCTCCCCCAAGCACCCACGTGGCTTCTCCAGCCCCGCCGGCACACCTCGCATGAGCCATCCCTACCCCCAGGGACTTACAACGCTCCTTCATGTCGAGCCCTTTCGGCACGTCACTCTGTCTTCCCCTGCCGGCTCTTCTTGGCAGATGCTGTTGGCTCTATCCAGTGGCTGCTCCTTCCCTGCTTGGGGCAGGTGGATGCGTCTGGGTAAACCTCCTGGGTGTGTAATTGTCCCGGTGGTGGTGTTCACAAGATGCACGTACCAGCACGACAGAGGCACTTGCTTGTCGCGGGGAACAGCTGCCTTCTTGCATCCGTGCAGGTGGTTTGGGATTTCCCAGCCCCTCCATCTCTGCTGGGGACCAGTTTGGGAGGGGTGGCTGTAATGGTGCAAGGAGCGCGGTGGGTATGGGGTGAGCATAGCCAACAGGACAACGTTCTCCAGGCAGTCCCCAAATCCGAGGAGATCAACATCCCTAGTGTCCTGGCAGCTGGGTATGGAGTCCTCAGCCCTGCAGGGTAGCAGGAGCCTCTCCTGAGGAGGTGGAAAGCTGGGCAGTGTTAGGACTGCCACAGCGGGAACAGTCAAATGCCGCCGAGGAGGTGCTATAGGAAGCCAGCAGCACCCATTCCCACCACCCAGCCCCATCCCTGGGTCAGCCCCTAGCCCTGCTCGCTCCGGGGTCCACACCACCCTGGGGGCTGCTGCAGAGCATCAGCGGTCAGTGCCCACTCCTCCCTAAATTGGGATCTTATTCATTATGGCCAAGCTTTGACACCAGGTCAAAGGAGAGGCGAGGTGGCGGGGATGGTGTTAGTGCAGGGCTCTGCTCGATGGGCTTTCACAAGGCGCCTGGATCGCTCCTCTTCGAACGCCTCTTCCTCTGGCTGCGAGCCGGGGGAAGCTGGGGTTTGGGTTTCTTGTTGGGTTTCTTTTAAGGCAAACCTCATCCTTTACATCAAAGTAGTATTTCTTCTCAAGAATGTAAAGAATGACCCTGGAAGGTCTGAGCGGCTCTTTCCCAGCGGTGATCGGAGAGACGAGAGCCTTCTCCAGAAAGCTGTCTCCACCCCGTCCCCAGCAACAGCAATTCATAAGCTGAAAAATAAATCAATAACCCGAGTTAATGAATTGAAGATGTCTGTGTTTAAAATGTATCAGGAAAAAAACTGTTAGCTGGTCGTGGTTGGCTTAATTATTGTGAGGAAAGGCGGAGAGCTCTTGTTTCTGAGAAATACCTTCTTTTCTTTCTTTTTTTGGAGGTATTTTCTTTGGTTGAAGCCGGTCAGGACTCGAGAGGAGAGGAGGATGGGCTTTAGCGATGTGTAGGTTCAAAGTCTCCCCCCAGGTCTGTTCCTCATTCCCTGGGACCTCTGTCAAATCGCTCCTGTCCCCTTCCCTGCCCAGCCCGGGGCCAGCTGAGCGGTGGGAGCAGGTCATGCCGGCGCAGGACCGAAGAAGGAGGAGAGGCAGCGGCCATGCCAGCGTGCATGGCAGGGCTGGCAGATGGCACCAGCCTGGTTGTGTGCCCAAGTCAGGGTGTCCCAGCTCCCCAGGCTGCTCCTCCCTTGCTCCCACCTCTGCTCCTGGTGAATTGGCAGCAGGGATGGGTTGTTGCACCGTGTTCAGCTGCAAGCAGGGGGTGCCGGCCCTTGGCACAGTGGGCCCCGGGGTGTCTGCGCGCTGTGGACTCAGAGACGGTGCGGTTGTGCCTCAGGACAGTGGTTCTCTTCTGGAGGGAGCCAGGGTAGAGGGGGGTGTGCAGCATGGCTCCAGAGCCTGGGGATGCTCTTCACCCTGGTCCCAGGAACTGGGACTGACGCTGGAGCATCCCACCCAGCAGGAAGGGGCTTTGTCGGCGCAGGCGGGTCCTGCGGCTGAACCCCTTTGCTCGCAGGTGTTTCTGTTTCCTCCCCCAAAACATCTCTGACATGGGCTGATTTCCATGTCAGCCCTCAACAGGAAAGCCATCTCAGTGTTTGAGAGCCCCAGCTGGGAGTCCACAGGGACTCTGGGGCTTCTCGGAAGGAGCGTGTGGCCGTGGCAGAGGTCCACTTTGCTTCTCTCCACCCATGCTTCCCTGGCTGCCCGACCCCTCTTGGGCAGGCACTGCAAGAAGCAGAAGCAGCCGGCGTTTCTCCAGCGTTGGCCATCACTGGCTGGCATTTGGGCAGGAGCATATGACCTAGGGAGGTGATTTTGCTGCGGCGAGGAGCAGGACCCGGTGCTAACTCAGCCTGCCAGGCTCACAGCTTCGGTTTCGCTAACAGCATACCGTGGACCCATGCTGGTCCTGGCTTCGCGAAGCAATGCTAAACCTGCTACTGCTCCACTTCTTCCCCCCGAGGCTGGTGCCGCCCCATCCCAGTGCTGCTCACACTCCAGGAGCCCCCTCCTTTCAGCTCCGAACATCACCTGGCATTGTGCCGTGGACCTGCCGCTGGGAGCCGGGGTGCTTCAGTGACATTAATGCCTTTCCTCTCCCCTTCCCCAGGTCGGAAAGCAGCCTCTCTAGGTTTGCCCACCGCTTGTCAGTTAAGCAGAAGCAGGAGAAGAGAAGGAAAGCTGAGTATGCCTCGGCCGAGCTGTCTGCCTTCCGGCCCAGGTCTCTGAGCATTGAATGGTAAGAGCTGCAGGACAGGGCTGGGAGAAAGAAGCTCCTGCCTCTCCAGTCCCCCTCCTGTCCCCTGACCCCACTGCTGCCACTCTCTGTCCCTGTCCAAGCAATGTCCCGTGGGACAACACCCCTTCAAACCCCTCCGTCTGCTGCAGAAGCTCCCCCAGGGTATCAAGGCAAAACATCCCCCCTTGCCCCAATACAAGGAGCAGTGGGCAGCCCTGGGCGGCTCCTTCCTTGGGGGGCTGAGCCATGGGGGTCTTTTGGGGCTCACGTGGGACACGGACATGCGTGTCTGCTGGGCTGGGGCATGTGAGCGCATGACCTCTGGCAGCCTGCACCGCCGGCTG